TTTGTAATTGGCTTCACAACCTGATTGATATCATCTGCTTCATTTACCCAAGTCATTGAATAGTAGCCTTCCTTTGTGTATTTAGTATGTATTATAATGTTTTTCTTTGCATTTTTCTTTGAAGAATAATGGTGCATCTTACAAAAGATGGCCCGAATCATTAAACCCGTCGTAGTGCATGGGCTGCACAATGGACCTAAGGACTTATCTTGGCAGAAATGGTCTTGCTTTGCTTTGCTTTGCTTTGGGAGTCTGTTTAACTGCATCTGTAGGGTTGAGGGGTGAAGCATCTAACTTAGTTTCACCAAATGGAATTTCATCTGTTGGTTGGGTTGAAGGTATGCAATGATAGAGCCTACTTATATTCTAACATTTCAGTCAGTTTGATCTTTTTTTATTCATTGGGTAAGTAAGAAATTGTTAAGTCATTCCACATATCGAGGGATGTACCGATCCCCGAAGTGCGAATCGGGTTGTGGCCTGCCTACACAACAACGGTAAACAAGAATATTGAATCACACCTTCAATACAGCCCGTTTTTCGTCCATTCATGCCTTCTTTCTAATGACTTTGTTTTTTAGGTATCGTGTTTCTCGGTCCTGGCTGAAACAGACAGACAAGCTGATGACGGTTTTTGAGGAGATAGGTGGATATCTATATTTAGGGTAATAATGTTAGACTAGTTGAATTCATTTCGTATATCCATCTACCATTTTCTTCCTCTTATTGGATTATTGTATATAGTTTGGTCATATAATGCACATGAATGATATAGTTGGAATAAGATTATTTAAGTGCATCAAACAGAATCACAATCCAAATTCACGATTCATATGGCAGAGTGTGGTTTAATTATCAATCATGCACATAATAATGACCACTTGGGATGATGTTTCATTGTATATATCCAGCGGCACTTTTATTGATATATGGTCCTCTCGCTGGTCCTTTTGGTGCTGACGCAAGGTCTGGACCATTTGTGTGCCCGAAAGTATGTGGGCCGTGGATCCGAGCCACTATACTCTATCATGTAGAATTTCCCCTCCTCTTCCTTGATTCCTTCTCCTCGTCCGCCCTCCTCCTCCTCCTCCACATTTTTACTCTATATCCCTATTATATACTCCGTGTTACTAATTCTCATTTAAAGATTGTTATTCCCCGCACTACTCGTTATTATTTTATTTCAATTTCAATGTTGGCTTAGTCATGGACCCGGGCCGGGCCCGGCCGGGTTTTTTTTTTTTGGGAAGGAAGGCCCGGGATCGGCCAGGGTAGCCACCGGGTCCGGTCCGGGCCGGGCCGGGCCTCCGGTTTGGTTAAATTTTTTTTATTTTTTTTGCTTTCCTAATCCCCCCACCCCCCCAAAACCCTCAAACCCCTCCTAACCATCAAGCCCAACCCGGGTCTACCCCAAAAATGAAAAAAAAAAAATCAATTAGGCCCGGACCCGGGCCCGACCCGGCCGGTTCGCCAAATACAAGGCCCGAGCCCGGACCCGCCCCCCACCGGGCCTAGGCCCGACCCGGACCCGGACCCGAGAACTGGGCCGGTTCCGGTCCCGCACAGTGGCGGGCCGGTCGGCCCGAACCGGGTCCATGCCTATGTTGGCTCTTCTTTACATTCTTCTTTTTCTCTTTTCGTCATCTTAGAAGTCTTTTTTTCTTTGTTCCTTTTCACCTCAATCTTCACTACTTTTTGACAAGTTAATGGCTTGTGACTTGCTTTTCAAGATTTCTTCTTATTCTCCCCTTTTCTCCCTTTTTGCTAATTTATGTCCCATCAATCCCTTTTTGTGTAAGTAGTACATTATTTATTCTTTCTTATTTATTTTTTCCTTAATTGTTTTAGTTTTTTTTTATATTTGTTTTTTCTCAAATTTTTTTCACAAAGGGGTTTTCCCGTAATTGATAGAAAATGACAAAAAAATTGTCTGGGAAAGAAATTTTACAAAAAACTCTCCTAATAGAGTGAGAAATAGAATACAAAAAGATGTAAAAGTAATAAAAAGGGGTCTGTGGATAAAAATAAAGGAAAATAAAAGGGAGAAAAAATGAAAGAAGGACCGTTTTCAGAAGATTTGTAAAAGTAGAATTGTTTTTTGGATGAAAGCGGCTTACATATAAATCAAACCATTTGGAAAGCAGGTAAACAGACAAAATAATTTAACTTTAGAAAACCGTTGTCCCGCGAACCAGAGTCGGAGTCAATTACCTCAGTAATATAACTCGCTGATCCATATTTGGGCACAACTGAGCCAGTGACGGTAATCCCAGTTAGATCATCTCCCACATCCAAACCAGAATCCAACGTTTTACAACCAATGAAACAGAAAAAACAACAAGAAAAACACGATCATTCAGACCAAAAATAAAAACAACAAAAAACAATAGAGTAACTGCAAAACTGAACCAGAAAACCGCACCCCCAGCTCGTCCCGTTCTGTCTCGTGCCATCCTTTGACAAGCTTACCACTCTAAGCCCGTCTCCTCTCCATTTTTTGAGTTGTCCAGAGCCATCTCATTCTCATACTGATTTTGAGTTGTCCCTATTTCCTAGGTACGTCTGCGTTTTTCTCCAGATGATTCTTCATTATGTTTCAGAACCACTTCCTTATTGGAAGCACTCCCCGAATCCCCTGAACCTTCTTGCCCTCTCTGTCGATTCCTCCCCAGAGGGGAAGCTTCCTTGATCAACCATTTATTTTTTCCTGTAGGGCTTGTCTTTACCCCACCCCTACCCTAAGAGACGCATCAAATCTTTTTTCCAACACCAGACCTTCCTCATACATAAGTGGACAGAATTTGTCAGAATGTCCCATGACTCCACAGATAAAGCAAAAGTTTGGTAGTTTCTCATACTGAAAATCTACCCAGTACCCGACCCCCTCTTTCTTCAAATTCGTACCCTTCTTCAGGGGTCTTTCGACGTTAATACAAGCTCTAACCCTCATACAAGGCTTCCATTGCTCACCATAGTTATTTCTATCAAAGTCAACAAAACTACCCAGGAAATTACACACTTTCCTAGCAGTACCTAGATTCAACATACCATAGGGAACATTATGAACCCTAACCCAGAATTCGGCTTCATTCAGAACAATTTTATGAGGAATATCCGTTGGTTTGATTTCCTTTACAATCAGTAAGTTCCTCTCAAATTGCCAAGGGCCTCCCTCAACCACACGCTTCATATCAACGGAATGGCTAAAATTAAAAATATACCTTTTTTCCTCGATCTCCTTGATTTCTACCCCTCTGCCCGGCCTCCAAACTGATGCAATTGCCTCTTTGAAGCCTGAGAAGTTGATTTTCCGGTCGGTGATCAGTACCCCAACAACCGGAAACGCCGGACGAAACCCCTCCCCAGCCTCCTCGCCGGCTTCGACATCATCACAAATGAGCTCTGCCTCCTTCTCCTCCACACTTATTCGCCGATAACTCTATGCTATAGACTCCATCTCGAATTGGACACAAAACGACTAGGAGAAAAATCGTCGCTCTCGGTTTCCTTCCCCTGTTGTTTGCTTCCCCTTCCTACTCCTTCCGTGCGTTTAAAAACCTCCGATTTCGATACTTCCAAAGCCGAAAAACCGCACCTCGACGGAATTGTCGAGGCCGGACCAAAAGCTAGCGGCGCAACGATACGCCCTAGAAAACCTTGTAAAAGTAGAAATTATTAAAGTAAAGTAATTTTTTCACAGAAAACACAAAAAATCTGTCATAACAAATCATCAGCCGGTTAGGAACTAACGAAAGAAGATGAAGTGCGAAAGTGCGATTATATTGAAATTACGTAAAAGTGATATTATTCTAAAGTCCAGTAACATGTGAGATTATTATTGTCGACATTTCTTAAAATTTATACTTGTATATTAATTAAAATCATTTCCCAAATCTCACAATCATTGATTTGGATTTGGAGAAGGGATAGAGTAACAAATAAAAACGAGAAAATTAAACTCGAACAACCGATTTTCAAATGTTATCCTCACAGAAATTTGGAAGAACTATGAAAATATAATTCTAACATATTGCGTACGAACTCTGTCAAAAAAACATATTGCGTATGAGTTTACTAGTTTAGTGGGAGAGGAGATCATGTACGGATAAGATGCGAGAAAGAAAAATATTAGGAATAAGTCATAAATATAAAAGCATAATAACGAAGGAGTGAAGAACTAAGGTATTATTCTTTAATGGGAAAAGGTGCAAATAGACCCATGTACTAACCAAAAAAGGTCAAATAAGCCCTTATTTAGGAAGTTCTGTCCGGACGTCATCATTTGGGGTGGTTCCCGGTGGAATTTTTTGATGAATTTTTTTGAGCATCTTATTCATTAAGTCTAGTTTGCTCATACCAAATTTCAGCTAAAACTTCAATCGGGAAGGCATTCAAATGAATTCTTGAAGATAACTGCGCTTCTGACTGCGCAGTTATTTTCAAGAATTCATTTGAATGCCTTCCCGATTGAAGTTTTAGCTGAAATTTGGTATGAGGAAACTAGACTTGATGAATAAGATGCTCAAAAACTTTCATCAAAAAATTCTACCGGGAACCACTCCAAATGCCGACGGCCGGACAGAGCCTCCTAAATAAGGGCTTATTTTCCCTTCTTTAATTTCCGTTTGAAATGCTTACTTGGACAAAAAGATTATTTAACTTGCGGCCACGTGGGCATATGTACCAATACATTCTACCACGTACAATGTAAATGCACCGTAGAGGTTCCCTAAATTAAATACGGATTAATAGAGTGTCTATGTGTTCAAACAATCCATGTGTAAAATTGTTACCTATCCACCTAGGCAGATTGTACCCTACCTTCGCAATTATAAGATGCACCGTAGAAATACTCTTCCAATAAATCCAGCCGCAGACAAACTTCAGGATAGAATGCCGATGTAACAGGTCGTTTCCGTCATTGAATACGCGTTCTCGATTCTGGAATACAGCTACAAGACGTCGAGGCTACGACTCCTCCCGGTCATATAAATACACCTCTCTGACCCAAAATTAGCAACGGTTTTAACTCATCCAGATCACAGTAAATCTGTTTCCCGGGAATGGGATCGCGATTCGAGGTTGCCGTCACGATAACCTCCGCCAAGGACCTGAAGAACGTCAACTGGCGTCACGGCAGCCTGAAGCCGTACGCCGTCGTCTGGGTGGATCCCAAAGCCAAGTCCTCCACCAGGGTTGACGAGGACGGCGACACCAACCCCGTCTGGAACGACACTCTCATCATTCCGCTCAATTCCTACATCGAAGATTCCACCCTGTACATCGACATCGTCCACGCTTTCGCCGCCGAGGACGTCAAGCCGCTCATCGGCTCCGCCAAGCTGCACCTCCGCGACGTCGTGAGCGATGCCGGCATCGGCACCCCCGTCGACCGACAGATCTCGCTCAAGCGCCCTTCTGGTAGGCCGCAGGGGAAATTAGAGGTCAAAATCACTGTGCGCGAGCCGATGATCCAACCCCGAGATCCATACCTGGCGCCTCCCTACGGCGTTCCTCCGCCGGCGACCAGGGCAAATCCGGCACCTCCGCCGTACGGAAGCCCGTATGCGGCTCCTCCCACGGGCTACCCTTACGGCGCTGCGGCGCCTCCTCAGCCGTATGTTCAGCCCGGCTACGGTTACGAACAGCCCGGGGGTTACGCTTACGCGGGGCAGGGCAGTTACGGGCAGCCCGCTTACGGTGGCGAGGAGAAAAAGAAGGGGAAATTCGGTGGGATGGGGACCGGATTGGCTGTGGGTGCGGTGGCAGGGGCTTTGGGTGGACTCGCACTGGCAGAAGGGTTTGATGCGCTAGAGGACCACATCGCCGATGAGGCTGCGGAGAAAGTGGAAGAAGACCTCGGCTACGACGCCGATGACTTTTAAGATACTCGTATTAAAAATTAAAAAAAATTTGTTTTTCCGTCTTACTTTGCCCGTATCAATGTTCAAGTGTCTTTTTTATTTTAGGGAAAACTGTCAAATAGGTCCTCGAACTTTCATAAAAAGGTCAATTAAGTGCTTCCATAGGAGGTTCTGTCCGGCCGTCGCGATTTGGGTCAGTTCCCGGTGGAATTTTTTGATGAAATTTTTTTAGCATCTTATTCACCAGATCTAGTTTACTCATATCAACTTTCAGCTAAAAATTCAATCGGGAACACATTCAAATTAATTCTTGAAGATAACTCCGCATTTTTGCGTTCTCGAATTAATTTGAATGCGCTCCCGATTAAAGTTTTAGCTGAAATTTGGTATGAGTAAACTAGGCTCGATGAATAAGATGCTCAAAAAATTTCATCAAAAAATTTCACCGGGAACCGCCCCAAATCGCGATGACCGGACAAAGTCTTCTATAGAAGGACTTAATTGACTTTTTTATGAAAGTTCGAGGACCTATTTGACAGTTTTCCCTTTATCTTATGAGGTTCTATGAAAAGGAAATACGAGTATTTTATCTTAGGGAAAACTGTCAAATAAGCCCCCTACTAATACAGAAAAGTCAATTAAGCCTCTGAACTCAAAAAACACTCAATTAAGCCCACGAACTATAAAAAACGAGGCAAAACAGTCCTTTTACCAGGTAATTAAGCAGTTAAAAAGAGATAAGGAAAAAAGGAAAGAAAGAGAAAAAGAGAAAAAGAAAATGTAAAAGCATGTCACATCATTTGTCACACATGCAACTTAACTGGGAACGGTTAATATCCTGCTAAAAGGATTGTTTTGTCTCGTTATATTTAGTTCGTGGGCTTAATTGGATGTTTTTTGAGTTCGGGGGCTTAATTGACGTTTTTGTATTAGTAGGGGGCCTATTTGACACTTTTCCCTTTATCTTAGTACTTCGAATATTACGGTTTTGGCCATTGTCATGCCGATACATTTTTTTTTTAATTTGGAGTGGGATGGAACTTAAGAGTTTAATTTTGTTCAACTCCCCGTTTGAGGGTGAACATAACCCTCAAATATTATAATATTAGAGTATACGACATTTCTTTCTTGAAGAGTCAATGACCATCTTTTTTTTGGGAGTATTTATTTAGATTAGAGTATTAGACATGCTTGTGGGGCCTTTTGGTTTTATACGGAGTACTTTACAAAAGGCATGTGCAACGTATTTCTTTTAAATTTGGCAAATATATAAATAAAAATTATTATCTTCATTTTATCAAAATTAACAGAATAAAATATAATTTTAAATGTAATTTTTTTTCATTTCGTAATTTAGCATATTTAGCTTATTGAACCGCTTGAAACAAATTTTCATCAATTTTAACAGATTTAGCTAATTTCGACATTAAGAAAAGGTCCCGTAATATTATTGTTAGCTGAATTTCAATGAGAGAATTCCCTAAATATGAGTAAAAACGTTTTGAAATTCCAAAATAGGAGTATGATGTTTTTTATTCCCTAAATAAGAGTAAATTTCTGTCAAGTTTGGCATTACAAAGCTTTAAACTTGGCAATTTTTTCCAAACTTGGTAGTTTACTCCTATCCAGGGAATAAAAAACATGATACTCCTATTTTGGAATTTCAAAACGTTTTTACTCCCATTTAGGACAAATTCTAAAACATGATAATAGCAAACAACATACATTAGGATAGAACGAGCTTCTCATAAAAAAAAATCCACACATACTGTAAATGACACTAATATGTTAATAATATACACTACAAAACAGCCAGGCGTTTTCCCATTTAGGACACCAGTTATATATAAAGTTTTATGAGTCTGCATGAGCAACAATACTATGTACTCAGCAATCATACCCAAAAAAGCTTCAAAAATAATTCCATCACCGTTTTAAAACCTGAAAAATAAAACAGATGTGCTTATTACAAACTTACATATTAATAATATGGCTATGAAACTAAACTGATACGATCCCAGATTACATACCATGGATGGAAGGCACTTTGAACTGGAATCATTGCATTTGTGTGTAAAACATTCTGTTCCATCATTTCTGAACCTTTGCGGCTACAGCTTCCATGTGAGACGAGGCTATTTATCTACTCCAAAATAAATAAACTCAAAATGCATTAATTTGTAGACATTTTCGAAACTAAATGGTTCAAATATATCACTTGTTTACCGGCTCCATAGCATATTGGGGTTCAATGGACCACCTGTAAAGATGAAGAACTTTTGTTAAAAAAAATACTGTTTTAACATTAAAATAAGAATAATAAAAAGAACATTCTAAGTAAAACTTTATGGAAGGTACTCAGACTTACGCTTTCTGTGAGCCTTCTTCTGTGACCTTTTTTCCAGTGCACTTTTAATTCTTTTGTTTGATATTGACCTTCGTTTTTTTGGATCTCGCAAAAGACAATTGGTCAGGAGGTTTGGTGTTGATTGGTCATCAACCATGACTGAGTTCAGATTGTTTTCATCTATGGTAGTACCCGGGGATTCATCAATATTTGCCTCGACCTTAAGTAATAGAGACTTGCACATGTTAAAAACATCTATGCTTCTCGAGCCTTTGGAAACAATTCTTTGTGAAATATGTGATAACTCGCTGTATCGAGTAGTTAGCATTGGATCATTATCATTTGGAATTATCTCTCCATTGGGATCACAAATATCTTGATAAGTAGAATCTCTTGTCCATCTTTTCAAGTAGTATTGAGGGGGAAATTGTTTTTCTCTAAGTGACGAAACAATTTCAACCCATGTGAGCATAAAACTCCTTGGAACTCAAACTTCCTACATGAGCAAGCCACCACTTCAGCCAGCTGATTGTATCTAACAGTGCAAACCCTTTGCCGACCTTCAATTTCTCTCACTTTATAAGTACTCACATTCCCATCATCATGCTCCAACTCAAGTGACAAATCAATGATTTTCTTAACACTTTGTTGAAACAAGTTAAATATCTTCCTTGTGTACTTTTTTGCTGCTTCACGTTCAACTGCCCAATTAGATATAAAGTTTGGTGTTGTTTGGATTGTTTTATGCTCGGCCTCCCTTTCTTTTTCACGACGGTCATTCATTGCTCTGGAGTACATGCGCACAAATTCTTGTAGCACAATTTTTCCAAGTGTGAAGTAGCCCTTGAGGAATTTATTTATACTCTCACTTCTCTGTGAGGTGGTCATACCTGCACAAAAGTGAGAGCGACTATATACTTGTGCCCATTTTTTCCTCACTTCATATGTTCTTCGTAACCATTCATTATCTTGAAATCCATTTTCTTCAAGTAACTTGTCCCAACTTTGCTCAAACTCTTCAACAGTTTCTGGATCATAAATGCATGATTTGAATTGTTGTGAAAATGTTTTGTATCCGTTACAACTCAAATTTTTTGCCGCATTTTGACATAAATGCCACAAACACAACCCATGATGGGATTGAGGTAATAGCTCATCAACTACTGCAGATATAGCAGCAGACTGATCAGTGAATATGCTCTTTGGTTTCTTTCCTCCCATTGCCTCGAAAAAGGTAGTGAACAACCAAGTAATTGCATCATATGTTTCACCATCTAGTAGGCCACAACCAAATAATGATGTTTGTCCATGATGGTTTATGCCTACAATTGGTGCGCACAACATGTCATACTTATTTGTCCGAAAAGTCGTATCAAAACATATAGCATCACCGAACAACCTATAATCCCGTCTAGATTTTGCATCACAAAAATATACTCCACATATTTCACCATCTTCATGTGACCTAAATGAATAGAAGAAATTCTTGTTCTCATTTTTCTTCTGCTTGAAGTATTCTAGAAGACATTCTGCATCACCTTTCTTGAAAAACTCAGATCGCTTTCTTTGAAGGAAGTTATTGCAATCTGATCTTGTAAAATTAAGGTTCTGAGTTCCACCGGCTTCTTCACACATATATGAGAAAATCTGTCCTTGCTTCAAGCCGGATGCATGCATTGTGGTCATCATTTCAGCTTGCGTAAATTCAATTTTCCGTTGAGACCTCAAGTAACCAGAATGTTCAAATGGCGCAAGGTCGTGAGAATGTACTGATTCAAAACCAATCACTTGATACTTCTCATTTGGAAGACGTTTAAATGTAAAGGATGCTTTGCAATCACGTGTCTCGTCTCGTTTCTTCTGAGGTGTCTTGATTTTCTTGTAAAATCCCTCACATGAGCACACTAAAACTTGACGTTGAATTAGTGTACTATCAACTCTGTTTTTGTTAGTTCGGAAAATACGCACACTAAAACCAATCCTCCTTGCATATGAGTTGTAAAAATTGTAAGCGTTTTCTGCACTCTCAAACTCCATCCCGATTTCAGGTTCTATTTCAATATTTTCTTCTTCCAGAAGCTGATTATTTGAACCCCTACTCTTCATTAACAATAGGAGTCTCTTCACCCACACAAAAATTCAAGTCTGGGACACTCATGACAACTGATCAAGACTACAAATCTTAAAATAATTAGTAAAAATAAACACTCAAAATCTACTGAATAGAAAAAGTCGAATGACAGGAAATTAAAAATCTGTATAATATGAAGTAAAAATTAAACACTCAAAATCTACTCAATAGAAAAAGCCGTATGATAGAAAATTAAAAATCTGTATAATATGAATAAAGTTCAATTTTTGATATCTCTAATACGGAGTATGTAATATTTCAAGAACAAAAATAAACGTAATCAAATCACCATCTTTGATAGATAAATGGTTAAAAGATATTTAATTTTTAAGAATAGAAATCGGTGGTACCATACCATCGTATGAGTTTTAAAAAAAATTGCAAGTGCAAAATCAAATACGGAGTATTGAAATACTAAAGGAGCTAAAAGCATCTTTAACTACGGAGTATAATAGAAGTAATGAAAAATACCTTATATACGTCTGCAGGTGTCTGCAATCTTCTCTACCAACGGTTTAGGAAATAACGATCGAAGCACACCGAATATGGAGGTCTGAAACTGAAGCGGAGATGGGGCGGTGGAGAAATAGTAATGCGTATGATTTAACAAATACAGAGAAACAAATTAAAAGGGTATGATTTAAATCTACTTTAGTACTAATAAAGTAGAGTCACTTCAATTGAAATTGATTTTAGTACTAATAAAGTAGAGTCACTTCAATTGAAATTGATTTGTACTTAAATTGTAATTGAGTACAATTAATGAAATTGCTAATTTTCAAATTTTGCCCAAAATTATTCAGAATGTAAATTTATTTGGAGCGGATTCTATAATTATATTATTTGTAATCTAAAGTAGTGTAGATAACGATTAATCCGTAACTATTTAAAAAAAAAAGTTAATCCGTAACAACTCCAACTAGATAGTTGTGCATGTGCCATCCTAAAATGTCTCAACATCACATTTAGAAGATAAACTTCATTATCAGATAAATTTTTAATAACTTTTCGAAAAAATACTATAAATTATTCAAAGGATAAACTTCAGATCAGAACGATTCAGATCAGATCATAAGGATGTCAAATCAGATAAAAAAGATTCAGATCAGATCAAAAATATTCAGATGAGTAAGACAAATTTTTGGCACTTTTTATTTTTTAAAACAATTTTTTTAATTTTATGTAAAAAAATTACTACCTTCGTCCTATTTTATGTGTCTTAGTTTGACTTGGCATGAATATTAATGAAGTAGTTGCAAAAGTAAAAGTTATTATTGATGTTTGAGTATAATAAAGCGAAATGATGTGGACGACATATTTCTTTCCAAAAAGAAAAGGAAACACTTATTTTGTGACAACACAAAAGAAAAGTAGGACAAGTAAAATGAGACGTAGGGAGTGTTATTTAAATAGTTTTATTTTTTTATTATTTTTACGATTTGTTATTTTTATTATTTTATTTTGAATTAAAACATTAATAGCTACAAGGGTATACGTGTCCAAGACACACATAATTAGTCTTGTGAAACATAGTTTATTTTTTATCCTAAACAGAGCGACTTTTAGTTCTATATGCATAATTAACTCTTTTATACATAGTGAATATGTTTTGAATTTTTAATATTAGGGCTATAAAAAATCATTTAGTAAAAAAAATATCATTAGCAAGATCTATTTAATGGTGTAACTCGCGTACATTAAGATGTAACTCGAGTATATTTAAATGTAATTCTAGGAAAGTTGAAATGTAAACATCATATACATACATACATACATACATACATACATACATACATACATACATACATACATACATACATACATACATACATACATACATACATACATACATACATACATACATCTAAAAACTTATAAGCATCAATGAAGGTTATGTCCTTTTGGGAATGAAAAAAGTGTTGGTGGAACACATTGGTGTAGGTGATTGTACATTATGCATTTACATTTGTACAACTAACTAATACCCTTCCCCTTCCGTTATT